GTGGCGAGGTCACTCTCTGTTTAAACCTCTATAAAGTGTAAATGACAATAAAAATGAAATAAATGTAAGCAGTGCTGGATTAAAACAACTTCATGCTTTATGTAATCCTTATTATTTAAAATTAAATTAGTAACTATCGACGTTTAAAATATTTTTCCGTGACGTCGTAAATTACAGCCAATGTTACCCGTATATGATATAGATTCTCGTAGGGGAAAGTCTTATTTTAATCAACTTTTTCAACTTTAAGGGCTATTGTTTATGCCATTTCTTGTGATTTTTTTTTTATTATGTGACTGACGGATTAAAAAGAATTTCAGTAAATTGGTTCATTAGTTTTGGCGAGAAAACGTAACAGTGTGTGAATGTTACTGTCAAAGTTACTTTCGCATTTATAATATTAGTATGAAGATGGATTAATTTTAAATTATTATAGTATGGATTTATAACAGTAGCCGTCGGTCACGGGATGGTTGACCAAAAAATATTATATCAAGCTACTCCGTGCTTTGGAAGGCACGTTAAGCCGTTGGTCCAATACGCATTGGGTCATTTTTATTATTTATATACGAAATATTTAAAAGTTTAATTTAGTTTTATATATTTTATTTTTTAATTATATAATACTCTATTATAAATAAACTTTACTAATTATATGACTTGCACCTTTCATTATTTTATAATATGGTAAATCTGGCTAGTATCAATGCTTATGCTATTTACATCTCGAACTAGGTACTTGAAAAATAGGAAGAAGCCGCCACTACGACGTGATTTTGTCATGAAAATGGGAGACCAACTGATGGAGCCTTGGCTACTCCTGTTAATTCTCTGACCATTGTGCATAAAATATGTTTTTTTTATGTCCATCAAAAGCTAGGATCAACTGTAGGATGACAAAACATCGATGCACAAAATTATAAAATTACATTTGTGAGTCTTAGAATAATGACTTCTGTAGTAGCTGTATGGAAAAATGATTTATTGATATATCACATCAGTTCTTTTTAAACTAAACTAAACTACTATCTAACGAGTTCCTAATTTTAATAAATACTTATCATGATTTGCAAGTTTTTCACTGCATAGTCTACCTGACGAAAATGTGGTTGCTATGTATCTACAAATATAGTTTAGTTATCTAGCGTTAAGGAAGGCTTGAGCCCCTGCAGTAGAAGACGTAAAAAGGCTGATGATAATGATGATGATTAAATTATTCATGAAACTCATTGGAATTATAATACTATCGATCAATGATTATGATCATAGGTCATTACAGTCATTAGCATATAATTTATACGAGGGAGTAGTTTTAACTGTGTTACAGTGCGCATTAACTCGACTCCTCCCTCAGGGTAGTAAAGTAATCGAGTTCGGGTTCGGGTATGGGTTGTAATTGAAATTGTCGAGCCGATGTTCATTTTCCACTGATTAATTGGCGTGATGACGTCGCTCTCCCGTCCCCAGGTACGCATTGAGTTCACATTTATAAATACTAAAAGTATGCAGTCTAATTGTAGAGTTCCGTGCGTCAAATGGAAAAGGATGTAGGATGATTCAGTTTTCTGTGTTCCGTCATCATAATTATGCTTTCACCTAACTTTTATATCAATGGTGAATGATATGAAGGTTTTACACTGGGCAGAGCAACACAAAGCAGTTGCGCTTATTGCGCATATTGTTGTCAGGACTAATTCAGTGCGACTGCTACAGTTTCACAGAGCTCGTTCTCTCCGAATCTACTGGAGAGTTTGAGTTGGACTTTGGTACACATATTGTAAATTGATGAACCAAAAACGACCGTATTAAAAAACTGATATATGGTGTAGATTAGAGAACAATCGAGTTATCCTATGAGGGTTCCGCACTAAAATTGTAGGACTAAGACTCCTCTGACCGTCGGTCTATAGGTCTGTCTGTCACCAGGCTGTATCTTATTATCACAGTTAACATTTAATATAAAACACGTACTAATAATTTTAAATTACTACCGGAGCCAAATGTGATATGATTATAAAATTAAAATTAACTAGCGCTTAAACAAATGAGCAGAAAATATAAAAATTTAACACTTGCTCAGAAAATATGCGAAACAACATAAACATAAAGTATTTAGATAAGATCTCGCCTGCTTTTATAATAAATTATACCCTCTTTGACGTGATACAAGTCCGAGAACCGTCGAGATGGTTTTGGTGACTGAAACAGACTTAGTTCGACTTATGCTTATTGAAATTCACAAACTTGTTTTTTACCATTGCACTATCTACCTGAAGTCCAATATTCTTGTATATCCGTCACCACTGATTGGACTTTAAGTAGTACAATGGTAAAATATACCTAAGTAGTTAAGATTCTATCGAGATACGAAAAAATTAGCAGAATTAGCCTGCTGCTCCAAATGCGGTATTTATTTCTGCTTTGTTTTATTCTCGTGTTATTACGAAATTGATATATTTATATTTGTCATAAGAGTGTTGTATGTATGTGTAACTCTGTATGTATGTTTAGTTTATCAACAAACAAAAGGGATGATGACTAATATTTGTTTATCTGGCCGTCGGGTAAATTATTAAAGTAAATATCCTATAATAATTTACACGTATTTCTTACGTAACCGTTAAATAATCGTATAATTATATTGACATGAAATGCAGCATGATGTCACATTTGCACACTTTAGTTCGCGTAGCGAGCCCCCACTCCTCAACTTTATGTGTATTATCTAAGCCATTTCTTGTTAAATTGAAGTAGAAAAATACGTAAGTATCTAATACTACAATGTTCTATAATCTGACTGGCGGATTAAACAGTTTCTTTTTACCCAGTTATCATTTTAATTTTAAAAAAGTTAGGAAAAATATAAAACAGTGAATCCGTCGCATCCACTGAGTACGGTTTTTCACATTTTTTAAGAATCGAACTCACTGTATTCTGAAACCAATCAATATATTGTCAACTTCGTCGGGCTCTGTTTAACTGTATGACGTAAAAACCTTAGTTAAATGAGGAAAAACGATTAAACAGCCCACGACATATGGGATCGCAGTTCTTAAAATTGTCGGGAGCGATTCTCGACTTCGGAAATAAAAGTATTCTGCAAATCACCGAGTTAACTTAGCTTATGTTGGTTTCATGACGATGTCGTATACAATCGTATCGAATATACTTAAACAGTGCGTGTAAATTGATTCTTGGTGTATTGCAAAAGTTTATTTCAGCAAATCCGTTACAATTGGCACGACACGGGTTCCTACCCCTTTCTCTCGGCTTTCGTGAGCCGTTTTGTCAACTTATTCTCGTATTTCACAAGTCGAAAGTCTATACTGGATATTTGTTGGTGGTTTTATTTAAATTGGACAACATGTACGAGTGAATGCCGAAAACATTACCAATTAATACGCACTAACCGATTTCCAAAACGGCCGAATGAGTTTTTTGTGTATTTGTTATCATAAACAAGTTCTATAAAAAATATTTTATAATTGGATCAGTAGTTCTATAAACTTTATGCCTGATTAGAACAGTGACATTTTCCAAATTCATTATTATGCTTCTTAGCATTTTTATTCATTATATCTTCTAGATTGTGAATCACTTTTGAATCCTTTTTTAATTTCATTTTCTCAATTTAGTATTCAAAATGCTATATATACTAGTCTCCGGGTTTTTAACAGTTTTCTCCATGATTAATCTATGATTAAATTTATTCCTTTGTTAGCATTAAATAGACTCCAAAACTACTGGACCTATTTTGAAAATGATTTCACCTACAGGGAGCTACATCATCATACGCGGGTGCTAAGCTATAATTTACATGTAGGCAGCAATATCGGAAGCCCTTATTTACCTGTAATACACTCACCAAACTATCTAAAGTTGTTTTATCCGTAGCGTGCATGAAGATATAAAGTTATATAATAAGGTCAGTTATAACATATGAGTAAATAACTAGTTTTCTTATCAACGTTATTTCAGTCGATAGCAGCTATTACAATATCCCGTAAGCGGTGTATTCTTTTAGACACGACAAAATAACATTTACAAAGCTATTATGCGCGTATGAAACTCCGGTTATAGGCGAAGTTTGGCCGTCGAGAGGGAGCGAGGGCTTCAACTTGGAAGATTAACAGTCAATAAATTTGAATGTATTTCATTATGTGGATATTGGACTATTGAACCACGATTATATATATAACATATCCGAAATATTCCTGATATCGATAAGGGGCCGTCCATTAATCACGTGATGATTCTTTCAATATTTTTTGACCCCCCTTCCCCCTTGGTGATACATGGTGTGGTTTAAGACTACCCCCTCCCTCGTTCAACCAAGTCACGTGTATTTAAAAAAAATAATCAAAAAATCTTAATTTTTAACGTCGCTTTTCGGTTTAACAATCGCGCGTCGAGGAAAAAATAAATACACGCCCCTTGTGATATTTCGTGATTTTTAACGAATCCTCCCCCCTTCCAGTCTCACGTGATTAATGGATGGCCCCTTAGTGATCATAATGTGCATGATTGAAAACACTATCACTTTGATATCTTTAATAGAGATTTGTACAAATACTAATATTATAAGTTTCTGACTTCGTTTATTTGTAGAGGGTAATATTCGGAAATAGTTGATCCGATTATGAAAATTCATTCACCTGCGGGAGCTACATTCACACGCGGATGTAATAGGCTATAAGTTAGCGGGAGAAACCACGGGAACACAGCTAGTTCATATTATATACACATTTTTTATTACTATCACTAGTGATTTGCTTAACCAACCTCAACTATCATTGAAAGCTTTATTACGAGATCAAGAATGTATATTTTAAGCGATGCTTTATTTTTCTTATATATGCAGCAGATGTTTGGAGTGTAGGATAGGCAAAATTTATGTGTGTAAACTTTGAGTTATTGTTTAAATGGATTTGGCATTTAACCAAGTGAATGTAGAGCAGGTTACATTTTTTTTTATTACTAGCACTCACTATAATGTTACATTAAGAACCAGTTCTAGAATTGTCGTGATCATCACGATCAGCTAATAAATCCCTACTGCTAGGATATGAGCTTTCCCTGTGGATTAAATCATAAAGGTTGAACGAGCTCATTATAAGCTCATGTATTATAATAATACACAACGTAGGCTCAGAATTTATTTTATTCAGCCGGAACTTTAAAATCACTTATGTTTATATCAGGCCACCTTTTTTTATCTACATCCCCGTCTTCTTTATTCTTACTATCTCTTTCTCCATCCCCAGATTTCCTGGAAGAAATCGGTCTCAGCGATAGGTCCACTAACTGTTACATAATTTATATTCGTCTACTTGACGTTTGTATTTGTAAATTGTAATGTTAACAATAAAGAATTATCTATCTATCTTATTACCGAGTTCTTTCATTTCCGTAAATAAATGGCTAATTTAATCTAATATATCATCATGTACCTATGTTTGAAATATAAAAAAGCTTTATGAGGTTTGAGTAAAAGCTGTTTATGAGTTTTGATAAATATTTATATTTATTTTCACGGTCGACGTTTTGAATTTGTATAAAAGCGTCTCGAATAACAGTTCGGTAACAGAAATGTAAGAGTGTTCTAGTCAATCGAAATAAGAGAGGAAAAATAAAAAGGGGCATACTACTCGATGTCGGGTGCGAATCAGTATTCCCTAGACTTTGATCTTATGTTCTGAGGCGTTATAGAATTTACATATTTTTCCGTATGTTTCTATTTGCGTTCCCACTTTGATGTCGTATGCTGATCTATGTGGGCATTGCAATTTGTTCGTGTGATGTCTCTGTCGATAACAAAATTGGCTCAGTTTTCTTTGTTCTTTTTTTTATCGCGACATCCTGCCCCAAAGTGGTTTAGATATAAATGAGGTTAAATGATTTTATTGAAGTGTCAGATAAAACCGCTTTGGTCTCTTAATAAATTGAAATTCCATTTTTTTATTTAAAATCATTTTAGCTTTTAATATCCATTATTCTATCTCCCTCATTATACCCTCCAATATTGGGCCAGCTTGAAGGGTCATGGCCCATCCTCCTTAACCATCCGCAAGGAAGCACTGGCATTGCCCCTGCAGTAGGTACGCAAAAGGGCTGATTAGATGATTCTGTTTAAATGTGATATTGAAGATTGCAGACTTAACTTATGCAAGTGCCGGTGCTCAGAACGGTGACCAAAAAGTTTTCTTAAGCACATCTGTGTTGCTGTAGTTCCTGCCTTAATTTGTAGTCGTTCACATTCATCAAAACATTTACATATCTGAAAAGATTTGGCATGAAGTTGTTTAGAGTAATATTCATTGTAGTACAAAGCGACAGATATATCGACTAAAAGCTATACTGACTTACTGACTAGCGAGTATTACTCAATTTTCGCCTAATCAACTAGGAACTTGGATAGGTCAGTCAGTTTCAGGTTTATCTAATTCTGACGTGCGAAAAGAGGTTTATCAAACTCATTTCTCTGTATAATAAACACGGTTCAGCTCGCTTTACAATAAGTACAAACTTTATTTCTACAATTTATACTTGGTTTCTGGATTGAGAATTTGAAGTTAAGCACGTCTCAATTGTACTTATAAGGGTTTAGTTTTTGATTTTAGTTTTTTTTATACTTAGTTGATAGCAGTTTAATAAAACTAGAACTTTTTGCCATGTAAAAGGTAAAAAACTAAAGTTATTGAGAATAATCAGTAGAGATATTTTCTTTTCTCAATTCAGAAACCAGCCGATAGCGTTTTACTTTTCACAATTGATTTATGAAAATATATAATGTATTTATTATATTTGACCAATTTTGAATTCACAATGCTTTACTGAAAAATAAAAAAAAGGCTTTAAAATCCAGTGTTATTCTGAGATGGGACTCGAAACCATGGCCTTTTGCAATCCGGGCAACTGCTCTAACCACTGAGCTACCCAGGACCTAACAGGACTGAGGAATTCTTCAAGCACTTGTTACTTTGTTGCTACTACAGAGCGTACTTTCATCAATGTTCAGGCAATCCACCTAAAGAGCCGAAAGAAATATTTTACAAATATTTAAACTTTCGATATTGATGAAATTTTTTTCTAATTATTATAAGGTATTTGATCAATTTTGTATTCAAAAAACTATACTGATTTTCTATAAATAATGTCTTTGAATAATTTATTTAACTACATTAAAATAGTTTAACTACATTATACATAATGAAAAATGAAATTCAACTTTACTCAGTAGCCCGATATGCTATTGATTAATGTGACAAATGCTTAACAAATCCACTTTGTCCCTGGCACTCTAAGATGGGACGCGAATCATGACCTTTCGCAATCCGAACGACTGCTCATATGTGGCTCTAACCACAGAGAGCTATTACATATTAACGCTGAGGATTTTTTTAAGCATTTTTCATTATGCATAATGTAGTTAAACTTATTTTTATTTAAAGAATTGTTGCTTATCGTTCAGTTAGTTGTTAAATCTTATAATTTTGAATGTTATCCTGAACCTAATATTTCGGTCGAATTAATCGACTATGTATAGGTACATTTTAAGTACGCCCTGTAATAAATGAGTTCATAGCCCATCCTTAGGAAAAAATAATAATTACAATTAGATTCTACATATTTGCATTCAGCCAGTTTGAGCTCTAATTCTTATTAAGGCACAAATCTACATCAAATGGTATATCATATGTTTCAAACAATTCACTCATAATAATTGTGTGAATGGCTGTTTCGCCACAGTCTAACTGAAGTATATAATAACAAGTCTAGTTTGTGATTAGAAGGCTGTGTCATACAAACTAAGTTTGCTTGTGAACGTACAGCATAATTTGTTCAGTCTGTCGTCGTCGCGACGCAATCAGACGCGTACATTGTGTGTCTCGTCGCATCTGGATGTTATTCCTTTATTTTGCTTAGTTTATTTGGATTTCAGCCTCTTTTCAGACACTTTACAATTATATTTGTACGTTTCTATCTTTGCGATTCGTCTGCTTTCTTCAATAAATAAAATGCTCAGGGTAGAACTTAAAATGACTCATATTGCCATTAACGCTGCTCGTTTAAAAAATATATTTTAATTTTTTTTAAATATATCATTTATGGAGTTTAGGATACATTTAGGCATTTCTGATTTTCGTATCCTTTGCAGACTTCGTGTTTACTAGGATTATCTGCAAAGTATTTTAGGAGTATTCAAAAAAATAGAAAATAAAATCGATAAGCTTATAACACATCCAAAGTCTAAACTTCATTTGTTTCTTTATTTAAATTGGTAGTGTACGCGTATTGACGTCTTTTGAATAGGCCAATTGTTTTACTTTTCCATTCAGGACTTCTTTTAGCGATAGAAAATAATGCACTAAATTCATTTCGTTAACGGTTTCGACTAGCCTTAATTTATTGTTAAATTTTAATAAGTGAAATATAATTTATAGCTTTTCCCCTACCGTATTAAGGACTAAATTAATCCATTTGCCCCTAGACAAAACAGCAGATGCAAGAAATGTGACAGTTATGAAGTTAGCTCAAAACTTGTGCACTGCATTTCTAGTATGAGTCGAGTGTATATTCCGACTATATTCTGTTGCATTTAGGTGTGAATCTATTATTAAAATTAAGTTTAATTATAAGTGCATACTGGGTCGTAATAAAAAATAATTTAATGACTTCCTACTAATGTAGAAGTGATATAAAGACAAGTTGTGTTTGTTGCTAGTCTATCTTGTGGCTGAGCGAATGAACTTTACAGTTGCCTTTTTCGCTAGACTGATTGTATGTTCATTACCCCATATTCATTTATTAAAAGAGTTCTACTTAAAAAGACCCGTTGTGTTTTAAAGTTTATATGCTTAATAACCAAGCAGAATATGTTCCAATTATAGTCCTACCGATAGTCAGTAAAAACATAAAATTTCGGATTCTGACCACCCAAGATTTCAATAATAGTGAACTTATTAGCTATTTGAACCACAGAGTGATAATGTAATCCCACATCCCACCAAAAATATTATAATGTTTAATGTTGTCAAGGCAATATCACATGTCTCCACACTGTCAAAGGTTTTCAGATCTTATGAAGAACCAAACTTATTTTAACTTTACTCATCCTAATTTTACAAATTCTACACCTTAGTTACAATATGTGGCTTGGCCGTTTTGCTTCTAAACCATCGGGAAGGTTTACCGTCTTGTAAAAATGCTATCACGTACCCTGTCCTCTTCCCAGCCCTCTAACCCCAGAATTAGGGTTGGACCCAGCAGCTTCCTTGCTGGATTCCGGGTCCTTCCTCCCCCGGAGGGTACTCGCAGCTGGTTTTAGGTCGTCCAGCCTCGTTTAAACTTGTCCTGTTCAAGACCGGTGCGAGGTCGGAGAGCCCTGGTTTAAGACTTAAGGTTGCAATTCTGCTGCTAGCAGCTTTTTTTGTATTTTTCTTTGAGATAATTATAAACTTTTTATAATTGATTTGTTAAGTCTTCATTGAATTGTGAATAAAATTTTATTTAAACCTCAAAACAAAGTTACGATAAAGAAGAATTATATTTACACAAAAGAGCTGTCGATTAACAAGAAGATAAATTGCTTTTTTCAATGATGCCAACTTTCTAGTTCAATAAAAGCGAGGCTTTAATATAAAACAGTTAACTTAATAAAAATTGAGTTCTTTGAATAATAAAACCAGCTTGTTTGTTATTTCGCCTCGTAGCTTTATTATATTCAAACTGTCTCAGTCTCTATATTTACGAGATTTTTAAAACGGTTGAGATATCTGCCATGTTGATTGTCCTTATTAACCGACTGCAACAGAATAATTGTTAATATTGATCTAAATGGTGCAAAATTATGTAATTATGTATGCGGCGAGTCTGAATACGAAGATCTTTTCTTAGGAACTATATCATCGATTTTAGTGAAAAGAAAAACTGTAATGCTGCAATAACCGTAAAAGTATTAAGTGTCGCTGCAAAAACGACAGGAATCGAACCCGGTCGTTTTGATAAATAATATTAATATGAAACTCAACTATCTATAGACGAGTGTAAGTTTTACAATGTGATAATGTAAATACAAATGTGCCGTTGCGAACCTCATTCAGTTGTTATGGGCCATTTCATTCATTTCCATGAGGATACAATCAACTATTAATCAAACGTTAAAGTATTTTTGTTAATAAAATAAAATGGCGATTTCAAATTGTTTTGTATAAAAACCAGACGAGATATATAGGTAAAATAATGCTAAGATACATAAGTTTCACAATGAGGTTGAATTAAAAATCGAAGTGGTTGCTGTTTCATTAGAGACTAAATAACTACATATAGCAGAAATATATGGTAAATAAAGATACCAATCAATGTGCTAAAGTATTGTCGAAGATATATATCATGTATACCATTATTATACTATCTAAGTCGTAACCTACAAAATCTAAAACACCTCTACTAATGATATTATGTGGTCATAGTATAGAAAAATGTTAATCAGAGTTAATAGAATTCTCTTTACAATTCCGTCACGCTTTCAGTGCAGACAGCGAGATGATTTGCCGGAGATGCACACGCGATTCATGATTTACTTTCGAAGTCAATTTCTCTTACAATAATCTGATGAAAAACATTTTTTTTCCAACAAATTGGTTTAATGTCACTTACAAAATCATCATGTAACAACTTATACTAATAAATGCTTCGGAAAAGTATTTACAAAACTATTGGAAGGCAATTTGATCACAGTAGTATTACACATATATTGGTGGTAAATAACTTTTCATTGACGGCCCGGCTCGTCCCAGGGGTGGTAATCCAGATGATTGGAGCGTTCTTATTGCCGGCTGTGTAATTTCTTTTCGGACATGGTAGCCGTTTTGATCTAAGCTTTTGGAATTACTGTTACGATGTAACACTTTGTAATTTTTAATTACACCACGCAATTCGTCACGTTGTTCCCTGTTAAATCTTGGAAAACTAGGAGGTTGAGGTTGCCGCTGTACAAAATCGTCTTCCTCTTCGTTATTGTTAACTTGTTGGTTTGGTTGGTATATTTCGTAATTCATTTCGTTCCCTTGGTCATAATTATTATAGTTCATATTACTCTTTCGTTTTAATTTAGTCGACTCAAATGGGTTCTTATTTGTAATATAGTTTAAAACATCTGCTAATTTAGGTTTCGTATTTTTTACGTCATTGGTTGTTTTTGATAGATGTGGAATGAACTTGGGATATTTGTCGGCTTTCGTTTCCGCGTTTAAATTGTTTGGTATTTGCATGATGTATTTTGATTCTTCCTCGATATAATTATGTTTCTCCTTTATTGGTTCTTCTATTTTTTTATTTTCACTATTTAGCGTGTCAGATTTCTTTGAACTAGAAATACTTTTAAGGAAAATATTGGTTCTAAACATATTTTCAGTACTAGTTTGTGGAGCATTTGTTGTAGTTTCTCTAGTCTCTTGTAACGGTTTGTACATTGGTTTGAAGTCCGATTTTTGTTCATATGTATTTAAAAAAGGAGGTGTACTTGTTGTACTGTGAAAAAGAGGTACTTGGGTTATGGTATTTGGTTCATTATCTGTAATTTTATTATTTGTCCATGAGTCGAAATATAATTTATTTGCATTCTTTGTAACAGGAATAGAGTTTACATTGTGAACAGATTTCATGGGGTTATTTGCATGAAGAGCTTTTGTTCTTTTGATGTCGTAAGGAATTTCTTTATATTCATATAGACTTGATTCTGATTGACTAGGTGAACTGAAGGTATTGTATATGCCGCTTGAAGAAAAATTGTTGAACAATAATTTGGTGGTGTCTTTTTTAATATAATTTATTGGAGAACTGTTAGTATATGAAACAGTTGTCGTTGTTGATTGTGGTTCAGTCCGGGGACTTTGGACAGTGTTTACTGTTGAAGAATGATAGCTATCACTTTGGTATAATTGGTGTTCGTATTTGTTTTCATTTTTTGCCATATGATTATTATTTTCATTTCCATCATTATACTGATTGTAATTACTGTAAAACACTGATGATGTACCACTTTCTTTGTTTATTGTGTCTAGTTGTGATTCTAACATTTTTGTATATTGTTCTGGAGTCATATCGTTGAAATTAATCATAATGTCGTCACCTTCTCCAAACGATCTCGATATTGTATTTTTTTCTGGTGTTTGACTGAGATTAGGATTTGGATTCAAACCATATTGCCAGCGCCACAGAGCCTTGTTACCTTCCAATTCAGCATCTTTATTACCGGCTTCGTAGTTGATAAGCTGTGGCATAGATTTATCGTTATTAAATATTCTTGATATAGATTGTTGTGGAGATGGTTGGTTCATGGAAGGCGTATGTGCTCCTTGTGAAGCTAAAAAGGTGATTTGAGGTGAAATGCTAGATTTCGCTCTTGATTGATCAATAATGAAATCGGCATTGGTTTTAACTGGAATTTGGGAACCTCCTGCTGCAGTATTCTCATTATTAGATCCTTGAGCAAAACTGTATGAGAATGCTTCAGGCGTTCGTCCAGTAAATAAATTTCTTGGAGGTGGTGCAGCAAAATGTTGTCCTTTATCACTTGAGTCAAAATCTTTTTCATTATCTTGCCAATCCCTCAGATGAGGCGGTTTTTTAGCTTCTTCTGCCAAGTTGTATTGGACTGCTCTATAATTAAAAACATGATTAGATCTAATACATATTAGACGAGTAAGTATATTTAACATACAATTTGTAAATTATATCACTTACCTTTGAATAATTTCGGGAATGGGTGGAGCTACAGGTAAGTGATCGCCACTTGCTCGAAATCCATTAGAATCAGCAATATAATGAACTGTATACGTTTGTCCATTATCACCTACGTAAGAATATGATCCTTCTACTACTTGTTCCTGTTTATCAGAACCCAAATTCTCCATGTGACTATGTTGCACGTAGTGGGTCTGATCTGCACCTAAGGCTCTGTGGAGGATAAAATATAATATTGTTTTATTTGATCAATTTTGCATTCCCAATGCTATACTGAAAATTATTTTGAAAAATCCACTTTATCACTGGCACTCTGAAATGGGAGTCATTCATAGCGCTAGGGACAAAGTGGATTTTTTAAGTATTATATTTTTTTTTATTCGATATTGCTTTGAGAATGAGTATTAGTACAGTACTCAGCGCAAAATAATCCCAAGATGCGGAAGATAGCTTGTGTAGGTTAATATTAACCGTCTTACTTTATCAAAAGTATATTAACGAACTTTTAGATAAGAATTACTTTGATTTTTTTTTTCTGAAATTGGTTTTTTTATAGTTTTAGTTTCTACGCAGGGTTAACATTCATTTTGGGTACTGTATAGTTACTTACTCGTAGCTGAAGCTTCCGTCTAAGTCCATTTCATTCGATAAACGTAAGATCGGTATAGCTGGTTCTGTAGTGGATGATATCGTAAATCCATGAGCAGTAACATAATGAGGATTTTGTGACGAAGGTGATTTTATCTGATCATATACATGATCATTCCTATGTGTGTTAATAATCATATTTTTTGGTGTTTGATGTACTGGATTTGGTGTCGATTGCCCCATAAAGTGTTGTGGAAATCTCATATCTATTCTGTCAATAGGATTGTGGTAATTTGCCATTTTGGGTGTAGCTCTCATATCTCTTTTCTGTATTGGCGTTGGGTTTCGAGGAGTGTTTTCTGATATATTTTGCATAAGTTGATGTGTGTGGGTAGACGGTGAAGAAATTTGATGACTATTTATTTTTTTGTTGCCCTCCTTTTCATCATCGTCATCATCAAAAATAGGTATTAATGTTGAGGATAAGATTACTGGAAAAGGTGAGGGATATACGGAGGGGGCTTTGGTGCCCGTGGGAGGCAAATAGGGGAATGGTAAATTATTCAAATTCTTTACTGGATAATATGGAATGGGTGTATGAGATTCTGGAGGAAGGAAAATTGAGCTTTCCGATCCATATCCACCTTGACTTGGTTTGTGAAATTGAGGGCCAAAAGGAAATTGTTCGTTTGCTTCTACTGTATATTTTATTACGAGAGCTGTTAATAATATCTGCAATAAAAATGTGTGTATTAGTCAAAACTTACGGTTAATTATGGGTAATCCAAATCAATTCACGCATCGCACTTAACACATGCACACTTACCAGCTTCATTTTGAAGCTGTTAAACCTTAGCGGGCTTAATTTTTCAAATTTATATACGTCACTCTTTAGCACTAGTAGAAAATAGACTAATAATGAAAATGAATTCCGCATATATTTATACGCACGCGATGTGCTGTGGCCAGGCATTCGTGAAAGATCGCTTCGCTCTAAAGCGGTTTTCTCTTCTCCACAAAACATACTTTTTGTTGTAATTTTGCTGACTGCTTTAATAATACATTGCAACAAAACAAGAAATACTATTAAGTGGTTTTAGAAAAAAATAACAAATAAACATTTACCCATTTAAATTGGTTAAGAAACGTTATCGAAATATAATGAACTTAATTAATGAGAGGTACCGGCAATCCTTTAAAATTTCGATAAGCTTCATATGCGTGTCTCGAGAATTTATCAAGGTGATGCAAACTTCGTAATGGGCTTATGGTCAATGTCAATGGCCTAGGGACCGGTTTTTGAGATTTTTGGGCTACGCCCTTGCACTTCAGAGGACCAGACGCGTTTTTATTTTTAGAGTTGAAATGGCACACGGTCCATGCATCCTCTTCTAAGAATTGCTTGTTATATGAGACGTCGTTTTAGACTTAACTACATTTTTGGATTTGTTATAACGTATGTTCACTGTCTAGAATGCCAGTTTAAATATTTTGTTTGTTTTACCGGTACCGAAATAACTAATGATATGCTAGTTTTAGGAAAAATAAGTTCCTAAGGTTCAAGGCTTTTAAAACAATGTTTATCTCATGTATAAAGCTATTAAAAACAGAATATCAAATTATATGAGTGAAGCATAATGTTTTGGTAAATGAATATTATCATTTTTTGACTAGTTACAAACATTGCTTGGGTTATGTTGAAATGCTTTGATGATATGCTTTGTGAATCCCGTGTATATGAATAAAATAATGAATAAATAAATAAGACAACAGTATATATATTGCTCATACTTCAAATTAAGTTGTTAAAGCACCTGTGGTATGAAGACTGTAATAATAAATGTAATACAATACCCGGATCTGAGACAATATAGGAAAGTTCATTTTCAACATTGACCCGATCCGGAATCAAACTCGGAAGCTCTGAGATGGCAACACCTTGAAACCAACGTTCGAACAACTCGGCCACTTTACTTTTAGTTATTTGTCATATTTAAATAAAGCATAAAAATACATTTTTTTTTTCTAAATCTGTTACCTATTTCTTTTAATATCACTATAACTTTATTTGTATTTTTTTTATCTCAATATATTGTTGACACAGGTCGAATGTGCCAGTAATGTCTAAAGCTCGAATGTATTATCAAATATATGTTTGCAAGATAAACGGCCAGTTCCAATAATGTCCATTAAGTTTTAAGACGCATTTAAAGCTCTAATGAATGTCATATTTATATCGGTATTGTCGCTTTAAACGAATGACTATTTTAATGTACGTTTGTGCGACTGAAAGTAATTCAACATATAAATTGATTTTCAACAATAATTTATCAATATACTTATTTTCCTATTAACTAAACTTAATTTCTCATTCCCAGGTACGTTCATAGTTACTGAAGATAGAAGACGAGAGTGGTATGTAAAAACAAGTATAATATCAACCTATTAATGATTATTATTAAGTAGTTAAAGTTAACAAACAGAAGGTATACTCCGTTTTTCCAAAACCATAGTTCCGTCTTACCTTGAAACAATAATACGACTACTAAAGAAACGCATTTTCGATAATTTATAACGATACTTTTGGTAGGACCTTTTTTATGCGTCAGAGAAATGCTTTAGCACCTGGCACTGCTTCTAGTGCACAGATAATCTTCACGGTTATGATTTTGATAAAATTAAAAGAACATTCCGATATTTAACGAATGTTCCTTCATGGACCGACAAAGTAGGATGGTATTCTTCATAATTATCATTATTCAATGTGTGATATCTGTCTATTATTGGATTCATTATTTTCACAAGGAACAAAGCTTTAAGTCAGCCCTTTATGTATATATTAGTGTTTTGTACAGTTTAAATGCTCGAAGCTTTAGTAGGCCGACAACGTTGACTTGATAAGGTGGTAAAAACGAGCTTTACGACAGCGATAACGATGGATGTTCCATAAAAAGTTTTCCGGATGTTTTCCAAACGATTATAGCAAGAATGAAATATGTACACATATAAATTTGTAGGTAAGAAATTTGTATTTCACAGCAAAATTATATTTTTATTCATAAATATTTGATAGGGATGTGACCTGCTTTTATTCTCTTTGTGTTGACGTGAATAAATGAAGTTTGCCATTTAAAATTATGATTATATAATGTACTCATATGTTAGCCAAGAACCGTAATTAAATTTACTACTTACCACCATATATTCGAGGTACGTCCAAGGCGTTCGACTTCTGCTCATCCTTAAAAAGTATGTGATACGTGTAGATTGCCAGTAATTGATTTAAAAGTGGTACCAAAAAAGACAGATGGTTATTTCTAAACTACCGTTTCCACTTAGTTTCCACTTTTTTTCTCAACTTTACCACGATTACGATACGATTTACCACGTATTTGTTATTAATTTACCTCATGGCCTCGCCTCCATTTGATATATGAAGAGGAAAAGATTCTGTTTTATGATTTATGTCATAACAAGGATATGTGTGACAAAATAACTTTTGTTGCTAGATTTACTTCATTCAATAATATCTTACAAGCTTTACCTATGAGTTAATTGATATTGATAAACAAAGACGCTTGAAATAAATTGTTTTTAAGTTAAACAAATTTTAAACGGTTTAGTCGCGTTTGTATTTTTCCTTTAATTGATTTTTCGGAGCCTTTACAAGTTCCGTGTTCACATAAGACTAAGGTGTTTATCATAAACTAGCTGTTTTCCCGCGACTTCGCACGCTTAAATTGCGTATGTGATTTTTTTTTTAATCAAAAAATATTCGATACAACAGTCAAATCTTTCGTCTTTATAATATTAGTTTGTATAAAATATTTATTTTATTACCTTTTTATATTTTGAAGCTCTCGAATATAAGACATGTCCTGGTCCCATTCCTCCTCATAAAAGATCAAAAGGAATCTGTCAGGTGGCAGGTGTATTTGCAAAGTGCAGTCATTTTACGTATTAATAAATACTAAAAATAATCTTAAAGATTTTAAAAACACAAAACAAACATAAGCGTATTAAAAACAGGCTTTACAATACACCGATTTAACATCGTGACAATATCGTTACACTTTAAAGCTTTGCATATCTTCAATCAATACAAATATGGCTTATTAAGAAGTGACATTTGTAATCCAACAAAGTGTCAGATTATCTGACACGAGCGATCTTTATTGGTTGCGAATGATGCAGCTGGATCATTCGACAACTCATTTCCACGGTCATTGACCTATCGTTTTGTTATTAGAACGCATGAATCTGCACTCAAGTGACTTTATTTGCAATCAATGTTCATTGAGGCGTAATCAAAAGGGCTGAGTTTTGATAGGCTTTTATATAGTTGTGAGGTGTAGATGAAATTTTTGACTATGTTTTTATTGATTATGCTCAGTCGTACCCCTCTCTTAGTTTCACTGAAAATGGAAGCTTTCCTAGAAAATATAACATTGCTTCATTCATTAATTGAAGGGAATTGGAATAAAGTAAACAGTTGTTTAAGAAAATTAACTTTTTGCCCTCCCGCACATATCTCTGAAATATTTGGACCTAAAATTTTATTAAAATTCTGAAAAAAATCTTTACCTATAACGTACAGAAAGTGTATGTTTCTTTCGCCATAGGCGATGCAAAAACGAAGATGTGAGTTTGACTGGTATGTATGATCAGATCTGTTTCCTCCTGAGGTCTTTACTAAAAGTCTTTACTACTTCCCACATGAAGCAATTGAGCTTTAAAGAGTAGTATATTAGTTATCCTCTTTGACATATAAAGTCTATAGTGCGGCTATTATGTTCAAAAATACTCATGAGAACCATTTTTGTATTTTAACATTCTTTGTTTTATATGACTAGGGATATCGCATCTTTTTAGACTACAGTATTTACTTGTTTTTTCAACAGACTGGTTTTAGTTTTTGAATTATATTTTTTTATTGTAACCAATTTTTCGTCAGTTGTACCTACAAACGTCGATTAATGTTTAAGGACGCCTTTCTGCTCTAATGAATGTTAAATTTGTATGGATAGTGTCGCTTTAAACTAATGTAAATTTTAATGAACGTTTGTGCCACTGTCTGTTTATAAGAGCATTAATGTGGACTGAAATACAAGGATAGGAAGACCATACAAAAGATGGATGGGCTGTACTAGTGAGAGGGGTAAAAAGGGAGTTAATTTTGGGATGACGGCAGATAGAGAAGCACGGCATCTCCGAGAACCGTCGAGATGGTTATGGTGACTGAAACAGACTCAGTTTGATTTATGTTAATTGAAATTCACATACTTGTTTCTTACCATTGTACTATCTACCTGAAGTCCAATAATCTTATAGCTCAGGACTTCCTTATGGATGGTTAAGGAGGATAGGCCATGACCCTCCACGCTAGCCCAATGCCGATTGGAGGGTATTCACGACTGTTAATTCAGCCGGGACCAACGGCTTAACGTGCCTTCCGAAGCACGGAGTATCTCGAAATAATATTTTTTCGGTCACCCATCCCATCACCGACCCTTGCGAAAGTAGCGTAGCGACAACTATTGCGGGCCGCGGCGCTAATCCACTACGCCACCGAGCTACTCAAACAGTAACAATACATATCGGTACAAAAATATAGAATTAGGATGAGGTCAACAAAATAATGATAATTTGTATTAGCACGTCAGACTATACGAGTCTATCAAATTTCTCCAATAAATTTTAACCCTAAATATTTTGAGAGTAGACTTTAAAATTAACTGAAGCAATATGACATCTTGTGGACACTTGAGGTGGAGCCATATGTACTAGCCGATTTTAACACACAAGAAATATGTGTCAAATAGTTCTTCAAAATATTCCTTTAAAGGTTAAAAACCGCTACGATATCAATCTTTAAACAGTTAGAATGCCCATAAAATAACCGGATTTCACCAAATATTTTGACAAACTTATACAATAGCGCTCTGTGACCGTTAGGAACTCATGATTTACATAATATTTGCATGTTTTACTAACAACCAATGTTAGAATGAAAATATCATAGTATTATTTAAGAAACACATATATTTAACGAGATTTAAGTATCGGTCTATCTTTCTTTTTTTATGATATGCTAGACAAAAGACAATTGATCCTCTAAAAATAGCACTTTAATAATAAACCTATGTGTTGATGAAAAATGCCTGGCACTCTTCAGATGGGATGCCAGGGACAAAAAGGATATTTTAAGCATATTTAAATAAGAATATTTTCCAGTATAACATTGTGAATGCAAAATGATGAATTATAATAAACCTATGTGCTATTATTGTTTAGTTGGGGGTCAAAAAACCCATGAGAACCATTTTTTAACATTCATATTATATTTCTTTTAAATTGCTTGATCGAATATTTAACTCTGATCTTAAGAACAAAACTTATTCAAAAACGGCAAACTGAGTAAAAACCTGTCTTAAAGTGAGACACTGTATCTCGCTCGCTTCCACCACTGCACTTGCATGCATCATACATCTCTTGTTCACTTTTTTTCGTTTAGTTCGTTTTTTATAAAAGGTTTTTAACACCTATTATCTGATAACATTGACATGACACTGAATCAAGTCTTCATTTTTTGTTCTTACGTAATTAAAATTACTCGGAGTTATTTTAATTACTTGATTGGGGCTACCGTACATTTGAGCGTCTGAACATACTTTTTTTAAAAGTCAAATATTTGTATTCACCATTTTTTGTGTAGCATTTTTTGTTTATGATTTTATAGATGCTTGTTCAAATGAGAAAGAAAATATCCGCGACTTAGCCTATCACCCTGGTATGATAGAGCTTTCCGGAGGTGAAGATTTTTTTAAGATCGGTTCAATAATTTGGGAGTCCATCCAATGTAAACAAACAATAAAATTTTTCCCCTTTGTAATATTAGTACAAGACGTAGCGATTGTATCGATATGAATCATAAGAGGTACACATTTAACTATTTCAGTAGGCGTTACTATGTTCCATTGATTAGAATGTCCATAAATAATACATATGTGAATTATTTATATTGTTACTAGAGGGCGTAGACGCAATTCATTACAATTTGCTTGGCTTTGTGTTTTTGTGAATGTGTATTAACTTTCTGAGATTACAAAGTTTATTTTTGATAGCATACCTTGCATATATCTTTTAATATTGTCACACATTAATAAATAGCATATCTTTACTGTGTAAAGTTGTATTTCATTTTAATTTAAAGGTTAATTGTTAAGGTTTAATATTGTATATAATCTCACTAGCGGTTGATAATAATTGGTAGTTAATTCAAATTATACTCGTATAAATTCACTATCTCAACAAAGTTTACCAAGTAGGCAATACGAAAGTGTTGCCAGTTATTGAATTTGAAAAAAAAAAATATCATCACGTCTTTCGGATATTTGTCAACATAGAATTCTAATTCTAATTCTAACGGTAACAAACCGAAGAGTAAAACTTGATAAAGTAAAAATAAAATACATTAATATAAAATCATCACATTTATTGTTAATCACCTAAATTATACCCTAAGTAAATATAGTAGATATAATACTTAAGTAATTGTCGGTTTCTAAAATTTAATTCACAACCATTCAAATCCCAGCTGCCATTGAGTTCACAAAACCTATTTCATGAACAAAATGGTCGCTCATTTTACTATTTTATTTAAGAGGTAATGTTCGCGCTCAGTATTTAAAGTATCGAGAAATTAATTTATGGCAAGATTTAGTAAGTAGAAGTATTTATTCTACGTTACTAAAAATATAAATTTCTTGACACTTTTCTATACAACGAAATAGTATCAACTTGTTCAGTCATTGGCTAAGCGGATAACTATTTACCATAAGGCGGACTGGTAGCGTATTGAGGTTGGTTGGGGTAGTAATTTTGTTGATTGGGGTAGTAAGTTTGCTGATTAGGGTATGAAGTTTGTTGGTTGGGGTAGGAAGATTGTTGGTTGGGGTAGGAAGATTGTTGGTTGGGGTAGTAAGTTGGTTGGTTGGGGTAATTGGCTGGTTGGTTAGGGTAGTAACCTGTTGATGGTTTATTTTTCTCGGCCTCTGCTTTTGCCGCTTCTTCTTTCGCTTGTTGATCCAAGGCGCTGCAATGTATACACAATAAGTTTAAATATCGGATGTAATTAATGATTAAGTGAAGTTTAAGAGTCGAAAAACAACTAGCCATTTTTAGAATGTGTGCTTATCAACCAAATTAGCACAAAGGATATAGAATTTCACGTATCTCTGATCATTAAATCAAAATCGATTTATGTAGCCGAGCATTCGCTCGGGTGGTTCTGATTTTACATAATTACAAAACCTTCCTCTTGAATCACTCTGGGTATTATACAGTATAAAATAAAATAAAATTAATAAACGTATCATTTTAGAACAGGTAGACCAGTCGTGGTTTAAGCTATTTTCGTCATTCGTAAAGGTTTTCATAGAAAAATTGTAAACAGGTTTACGGAAGAATTCGGATGCTAAGAAAAATTGCAGGTCTTATGATTTAATGAAGTTCGGAGAAGATAATTTTTACAAGGTTATATTATTTCATTAAGTTAATAAAATTATGAATAAACAGTTAATTAACAATAATAAATAGTTGTGCTGCCAGTCTGCAATCACGACGGTGAATCAACATTTGCAAAGGTGGGTTTTGCTGCGTTATTTTTGGGTTTTGATTGCGCAAAGGATGGGTATCCATAAATTTATTTTTACGTGTTCGCTTGTCCTACGTAAGGTATTTTAAGTGATCGGATCCCACTGCATTCGTAATCGTTAACATCCATCTGTTCGCATTGGGATCTCGTGTTAGTTTATGATTAGTCCTCCTTGTCACTATCTTTGGCGGTCTTAGCAATAGGGTTATTATTAACTGCTGAAATAATTTCAAAAAGAACTTACGCTTGGATCGCTGGTGGTACAGGCGGTGGGGTAGGCAGATGGTCACCTGTCGCATGGAAGCCGGTGTGATCTGCCCAATAAGTAACCGTGTATATCTTGCCATCTTCACCCGGGTAAGAATACCAGCCTTTCTTTACAAGGCTCTCATCAGCACCTTTTGGGTCAGTGTAATAGCCTTCTTCTCCGACGTGTGTGCCGTCTGCAATTTGATACCTATGGAGGTTTTCAAAATTGATTTTATGAAAAATTTCAATAACATACATAAATATTTCCAAAATTTTCTACTTACAAAATTTTAGGTCCCATACGAAAATATTTTTCTCTTTATTAATAAGTGAAAAGTCGCAATTCTTAACGATGGAACGACGATGTGTTAAATATGATATTTACGGAGTTAAATAATGTAATATCAAAATACAAATAAGTAAAAAAGTATTTCCATCGTTTCTATAAGTAACGGTATGATATTAACTAATAATATACTGCTATCCACTAGAGGCTTCGCCCGCATGGTCCCGTATTATACTCGTACATATAAACCTTCCTCTTGAATCACTGCATATTGATAAATACCGCATTTAAATCCGACGTGTAGTTTTAAAAATCTTGGCGTACATACAGCGGGAAGGGACTTTGTTTTTTACTATGTACAGAGAATAAAATAATTTTTGAGATAGATAGGAAAATGTTTAAAATCTACTCACTCGTATTTATAACTACCATTGTCACCATAGCTCAGCTCATTTTTGATAACCGAAGTCGGGGTAGTAGTGGATGGGATGTTTGCAGGGGGAGTCCATGTGCTCGATGGGTAGTAATTCTGAGGTGGAACGTAATTATTCTGAGGTGGCACATAGTTGTTATTAGGGGGCACGTAGTTGTTCGACGGCGGCACATAGTTGTTCGACGGTGGCACATAGTTGTTCGTTGGGGGCACATAATTATTTGAGGGGGGTACATAGTTGTTTGTTGGCGGCACATAGTTGTTTGATGGTGGCACATAATTATTTGATGGTGGCACATAGTTACTCGAAGGAGGTGCATAATATTTGTATTGAGCAGAATTTTTGTTTGTATCAGGAGTTAATGTGTTCTGGGGGAAATAGTTCCTTTGGGAATTGAAAGAGTTAACATCCTGAAGGTAGTTGTAAGCACTGGCTGCTGTTTCTAATGACTCCTTAGGCGTTCGGAGCAGCTCTATCGTCGCTGCCGCTTCGGTATCATCTATTTCACGCTCTTCTATGTTTTCGGCAAACGCGATTACCGCAAGTGAAACGATAATAAATAACTGAAAAAAGACATATCCGTTTTAACTTTTAATTGGCAACAAGTTATAAGATTATATTATTTGTATTTTATATAAAATAAAAAGAACTAGTTAATTAATCCAAGCCGTCGTTAGTTAGAACTGCTAAAGAATTATTTAAAATTATTTATTTTTAGATACACCGCTTAATAGTTATCAGTGAAACCTGAGTTTGAACACTTGTTTATTTTATCAAACGGTATTGGCGACTTTTTAGTAGTTTAAAAAAAAAAAGAAAATTTATGAAATTAATTTCCATTGTAACGAGATTTTCACACGCGTTTTCGTCACGTTATTTTTTTGAATTCACTGACACTAGAAGTTTTTAAGGACTCACCAGCTTCATGTTTTATGTCCTACGACCTCGACTGCGTATTAGACACTGTGGCCATTCGGGGGTCTCAAAAGGTTTTATAGGAAGTCGTCCTGCGCTCGCGCCATCCTGCGGTACGTTTAGTTACAATGACCTCCGGTGATGCGTCAGATCATGCGGCTATTCTACGCTGTTAACCTTGCACTTGTTTAGGTTAATTTGAAACGGATAAACGGTTACGAAATTTACATATTGTTTTTTTTTCATAATTTAAATCTATACATTTATTCTAGTCTTAAATATTTTGATACTACTCAAATTGTCTGCTGTTGATTTATTTTCGCATTGTAAAATTTTCACAGAAGTGCTTTCCACAGGCAAGACTATTATCAGAAAAGAGGTTTCTGATAGTTTTCTCTACGGATGGAATCGAAACGGTTATGGAAAATGGGTTATTTAACCACAGGCCCAGTGCGGATTGGTAGGTGTTAACGACTGCAAATGCAAGCCAACCAAATAAGGACACATGTCATAACGTGCCGTCCAAAGCACGAAGGAACTTGAAATAAAATAAAAAAATTGGTCACCCTTCCAATGACCCTTACGAAAGTCGCTGAATCTAGGTATCGCATACCGAACGCGCTAACCATTGCGGCATTGAGCGCATTATGTCATGATAGTCACAAGTTTTACCGAGTTTTCTTATCAATGAAACAGTGATAAATATTTGTTTTTTTTTTCATACTAATTAAAAGAAGAAAAAAACGCTCTACTAAAATTTATTGTTTCATTACTTATAGTGATACTTTTTATATATTTCTTTGAAAATCATACTTATGACAAAACACTATCTTTTGTTTTTTCAAGGCCATCTAAGTAATTTTTGGTATTTGGCAAAATGATTATTTATTGGTATTTTTTTTATATAAACACTTACTTAAAAAATCCACTTGGTTCCTGGCACCCTGAGATGGGAATCGAACCCACGACCTTTCGCAATCCGGGCGACTGCTCTAACTACTGAGCTACCCAGGGCCTTACAGGACTGAGGAATCTTTCAAGCACTTATTACTTTTCGCTACTACAGAGCGTATTCGTCGTCATCTCAGGGTGCCAGGGACCAAGTGGATTTTTAAGCGTTTTGTATTAAGAATAACTATCAGCAAATTGTTTTTTTCTTCGTTTACATATCTGTTAACGTTAAAATTTAAAATTTAGAAAAAAAATATCATACTAACTTACCCGTAATTCTTTTAATACTAAAAAATCATTATCCAAAAATGAAACGGTTTTTGCAAATTCCTTTAGGTATACTCGTATATGAATTGTTTCAGTTGACTCATTCCAATATCTTAAGTAACCCATTAATATTGTCTTTAGACGTGGAACTAACCACAACGATAATCGTGTTGATTTGTGTTGATTCAGTTTCCTTGAGACCACATTTAATTTAAAAGAGATTTTGTTCTGTATTTAAGTTATTAAAAGATTAATAACGACTTCGATTAGATCATGATGAATCATAAGTATTATCTTCATAATATTAAATGTTCAAATTAAGAATGTTATTGACTTGTATGAAAGTTGCAGCTTATTATTGTAATTAATTAACAATTGGCTTAATTGGTTAGAGCAGTCGCTTGGCTAGCGAAAGTTTATGGGTTCGATCCACTTTGGTGTGTTTTTAAGCATTTGGCTTAAATATAAATGTATAGTATTATTCATTATTCAAATATATTTTAGTTCCTTAAAAAATAATTTATTGATATATATATATATTCCTTTTTTTTGGCATTTAACTGTCTACATAAACGTTTCCATATTCAAAAGTCATATAATTGTTTAGTAAAGTGGTTGACACCACAGAACATAGAGAGAGATTAGAAGTATAATGATATTAATTTAGTATGGGAACCGAGTGTCGCCGCTCCGCACACAAATACAGATTAGATGAAATGATCATTTTGTTCACTACATGAAAAACCGCCACGCGATAGGTTCGCGATAACATAAATCAAATCCCAAAAAGATACTAAGCTAAGAAATCACACGATTAAAAACAAACTCTAATTCAACGTGATAATAAATAATTTACATTAACATGAATGTTGAACTGTCACGTGGCTGTATATGGGGATACCAGAAGGAAAAAAATATTTTAAGATTATGCACATTTAAAAAAATTGGGGTCATCATTTTATGTGCGAACTATTAATATTAGATTTTGCTGTAACCAAGTGAATACTGAAAAATTAAGGCTTTTCCCTACATAATTTATTAAAATATCTTTTAAAAAACGCAGTACAAAAACTAAGAAAACTTAATGATACACTCTATCGTATGTCTGTGGAGTAATATAATTAAGCGAGGGAAAGTGTAAAAAAAACAAAAATTAAGAAAACAACAGAATTTTTGTATTAATTACATTAAGCCTAATTTGTATTTTTTTCTTACTGGTATCATTCCGATTGTGCATATTAGTGATGTGACATATTAGTTGATAAAATAAGAGCTTTAAATTTTGTTATGAAACAGTTCAATGTAATTCAGTTCGACAATTTTCTACAGTGGTTTGATAGTAATTATTTAAAGCTTTATTCAAATAAAACGAAATACATAAAGTTTGCATTACCTAATGTGAGGCATGTTAATATACTTATAAATGTAAATAGTGAAAAAGTTGAGATGGTGGAATCGACAAAGTTCCTTGGTATTTTGGTATATTGATAATTTGTCAAGTAGACTGAGTTCTGCAGCATTTGCTGTTAAAAAAATTAGACTCTTAACAAATGTTGAAACGGCAAGATTGGTATATTTTAGTTATTTTCATAGTGTAATGAATGACGTATAATCTATTGTTATGGGGTTCTGCGGCTAGCATTCAAGATATTTTTATTCTACAAAAGAGAGCTGTCCACGCTATATATAATTTACGGTCTAGAGAATCTCTCGGAGAAATATTTAAAGAAATAAATATTTTGACTGTTGCCTCTCAATACATCAATGAAAATATTATGTACGCAAGAAAACATTACGATTCCTTCACAAAAAAAAGTAGAAATAAAAATAAACTTGCCATTCAAGGTGCTTGTAATAGCCTTCTTGAATAAAGATATTTTCATTTCATTTCATAATAACTAATATGATCATTACACTAATAAATTGATCATAGTCATGTTTGTGTTACTTTATTATTCTAAGTTTTATATCTTTAATAATAATAGTAGCTACATTATTAATTGCAACGGCTGGACAATAAGGAATCGCTGGTCAAGTATTAGTTTGAAAGCCGTGACAAAAAAAGTTTGAAGATAGACACAAAAGCGATAAGTACGTACAAACGTCAATCTACATATAAAGTCACATCCGTTTGAGACATGCGTCTATAAACTTATGTGCAAATATGAAGCAACAAAAAAACTGATAAAAGCTGTTCTGTGGGCGGTTCTTTAAAGTGACTTTCTTAACTCGATATCTATAATAATAGTTTCCGATTATGAATCAGCATAATAAGGTAAATTATATTGACGCCTAAAAATTAAATTCACACCACCAACAATATTACGTTAGTTGAAAACATAATTTTTTGTTTGTATAGATATTATGTTGTTTTGAAATTCATTTGATAGGTTTAGGTCTAAAACAGATAGGGCAAAATTAATTATGTAAACAAGGCAATCCGTTGTAAAGTTATTAGGGAAACTGAAATATAAGTAATGCAAAATAAGTGAAATCCAGTTTCACCAGTTTCTAACAAGACCTATTAGGCCAACTCTTAGCTTTTCACGAAGTTTCGTTTAATTTATGTATTGTTCATAAAACGGTGATATACTTCGTAACTTAGATATTTATAGCACATCAGTAATGTTTAATATTTATCTGCGTGTAAATAATTAACCGAATCTTCGTAAAAAAAGTGCCTGGACAGTTCATTAGTTCATCTATAATTTTCCCTTGTAAACAGTATTTTTTAGTTTTATATAATTATGGCATATATTTATCGATAACGTTGTTATGAAATGATGAAAGAAAAGCTCTAAATAAATATGTTTTAGTTATCGATTACGATCCATATAATTAACAATACGATTCCGAGCAGCAGCAGCCTATCGGAACATTTCAGACAAATGGAGGCACAGCACTATTTTTTGCAAAGTGCACAAAATGATTTACATTGCTGTTTAGTAATGGGGTCAGAAACATTGATGTTGGTTTGAGCAATCAATGTATATTTTATTTAACATTGTGTCAAATTATTACGTTTTTTATATTTTAGCACTAAAATTGTACTTACCAGTGAAAGGAAATGTTTGCATTAGTTAGATTGTATACTTTGCTTTGCTTTTTGCAAGTGATAATAGCACAAAACGGCATTTTTTATAAAAAAAATTAGTAAAATCACCACTCGACGATTGACGAACGACTGGCAAACATAAAACCGAGGAAAGGGCGTCATATGAGTAAAAGCGCATATGCCAGCGACGCGTGCCCCGCCCACTTACTACTTCTATTCTCTCTCTATGTTCTGTGGTTGACACTCATTGAAATTTAGTCAATTAATTTAATAAAACATAAAAGGCTGACCAGACAAGATGTTGGAGATTAGTTCTTAGGCGATAAGAAGAAAAGTAGTTAATTGTAATTTATATTCACCTTTATTGTAATTTACACTCACGAAATTTACATTTAATGGGTTTAATATAATACATTTATAATTATTTCTAAATTTGTATGGTAGCGTCACCAACCAAGTTTACTTTAGTAAAATATTAGTATAGACTAAAACTAATATCATAAAGGTAAAGTTTCAACTTTGTTTAGTTCACAACTATCAAACTATCTTCTACAAACCTTACCCGGATATGCATAGCTTGTTATCTTTGGAAATACTGATCCAATCATGAAAATTCTTTTACTTACGGCAAGGTAATATACGCGGGTGACATAGGCTATAATTTGCGGGTGAAATCACGGGAAAACAGCTAGTTGTTTATATTTTGGGACTTTTGTTCCCAGAATCTTTATTTGAATTTAAATAATGGTTTTTTGTTTCATAATAATATTTTTTTATTGATATTAGCAAGTGATTATATTAATTTTCAGTCAAGAGACTTGTGAAAAATGGAGATTGAAATAAAATGGTGGAAAATTTATAACGCATAAATCTTTTAGAAACGAGTACTTTCAATTTCCACTAACTTTTCAATATTAGAGAAAATTTTCATTAAACCAAATCTTTTATAACTATAAGCAAAATCATATACAAACCTTTGCGTTGCG